GAAGAAGAAGAAGAAGAAGAAGAAGAAGAAGAAGAAGAAGAAGAAGAAGAAGAAGAGGAGGAGGAGGAGGAGGAGGAGGAGATTGGATTTATACCCCGCCCTTCACTTGGAGTCTCAGAGCGGCTTACAAACTCCTTTCCCTTCCCCTCCCCACAACAGGCACCCTGTGAGGTGGGTGGGGCTGAGAGAACTCTGACACAAACTGCTCTTTCAGGAACAGCTGTGTCAGAGCTTGTGACTGACCCAAGGTCACATCAGCAGGTGCAAGTGGAGGAGTGGGGAATCAAACCCGGTTCTCCCAGATTAGAGTCCGCACACTTAACCACTACACCAAACTGGCTGAGCGGTCGGGTTAGAACGGATAAAAGGAAGTACTTCTTCACCCAAAGAGTGATTAACACATGGAATTCACTGCCACAGGAAGTGGTGGCAGCTACAAGCACGGATGGCTTCAAAAGGGAATTAGATAAGCATATTGAGCAGAGGTCCATCAGTGCCTATTAGCCACAAGGTATAGATAGGGGCTCAGGGGCAAGTGATGCTCTGTCTTCTTGGTGCTTGGGGGGGGGTCAACAGTGGGAGGGCTTCTAATGTCCTGGCCCCACTGGTGGACTTCCTGATGGCACCTGGTATTTCTGGCCACTGTGTGACACAGAGTGTTGGACTGGATGGGCCTTTGGCCTGATCCAACGTTGGCGTCTCTTATGTTCTTATGTTACCCAAAACAAATAAAAGGGAATCAGCTTGAGCTGCTAGAATGATAGGGACCAAGGAAGGAGCTAATCAAATATTCTTTTTATTTCACTATTGAATGTTGAATATTTATTTATTTCATTTATACCCCACCTTTCTTTCCACTGGGGACCCAAACAAACTTACATTGTTCTCCTTTCCTTCATTTTATCCTCACAACAATCATGGGAGGCAGGTTAGGCAAAGAGTGGCTGAGTTCAGCCTGGCAGTTTGCCCCGATATAGGCACATGCCAGTAACGTTTCACAAACGGATTAAAGGGCTGGTTCACACAGGGACAGCTGCTCGGCGTTCCCCAGCCGTACTCAACCCGCCTTGTAATGCTTCCCTCCCGAGTTTAAAAAATACCAGGTGAAAGTGGTAGCAAACCCTGGAGAGCGCGTCCATTCCGCTTCCAGGAAGTGTGGATGCCGAAAGCCACAATAGCTGATGGCGCATAAGTGCATATGCGTATAAGTACATATTGCTGGATTACCAAAAAGAAAGCCGTGCCTTACAGCTGCGCCTCCGCCAGGGGCGGGCCAACAGTGCAACCGTTCCCTTGCGCCTCTTCCCCGGTATGCTCCCGCATCAGTCGGTCCAGTCGGTGCAGTGTGATCGGGAATACCCGGAACAAGTTGTTCTGGGTCTTTTTTGCCACGACTCTCTGCCGCTTTAACTGCCAGTCTGAACTCAGCCAGTATGTGACTGGCCCAGGCTCATCCAGCAAACTTCCATGGCAGTGTGGGGATTCACATGTGCCATTAAAACTTGCTGAGCGACACTGGAGAGATCACATATTACCTGTTTGCCTTCTCAGCTCTTATTTTTGGTTAGAGGTAGATTTCATTATACCAAATTAGGGCTATTATTAAATACCGAAACCCCCTACTCAGAACGTAATTAGATTGTCTTGCCTTGCAGGGAAAGAAATATAAACCAACACAATGACTAAAGCAATGGTATTCAGAAGAGATCATACCACCAATATACTACATATTTACTACTGGAAAAACACTGAAAGTGACACTATGCTAAGTTTAACAACAAACAACAACAAATACCTTTTATTGGCATAAAATATTAAACAGTTGCCATTGGGGTAAAACAATCCTATACAATTTGTGGAAAATAAATAACTTCTAAAAGCATTACAAGGTATGGCTATTTATATAAGCTTAAAATTATAGCAAAACTATGCTAAGTTTATACTTGACTGGCTGTAGTTGGATATTAACTCATAATTCCTTTCTGCCATATATCCTAGGGAACCAGCATTGAAGGGACAGTACAAATTATTTAGATACCCAATTTAAGTACATCTGTCCTCTCAAACAGAACTGCTGGATGATGTTCTTTTCAAGTGTAGGAAACAAGTCATTAACCATTTGTGGAGCTGCCCACGCTATCAAAATGAGCCGGCTTCAGTGGGGAGGGTGGGGTATAAATCAAATAAATAACAAATAAATAAGCAGGTAAGGCTGAGAATTCCATTGGAGAAGGCTTCATCTAGACTAAAGTCGTATAAGGTGACAAGGGTGCATATGACATCCAAAAACTACTGACTAGTTACACAAACAGATTTAGAGAACAGCTCTGTATAGTAGCATTTTATCCCTTCTATGCAGCACAAGTCCATCGTCCACAATAAAGCCTATGGAATGTGTGTTCATGTCTTTGGAATCACAAGGCCTCTCTAAGGTACAACATGAAAGGATATTACCATCTTTGAATCAGCTGATGTAAAGTGTGACAATCTTGTGCATGTTGCCTCTCAGGAGAAAGACAGGGCATGAATAAAATATTTTGAAAAGCTACTTTATTTCCCTTTTCACAAATCAATCTCCAATATAAAATTAGTCCTCACCGTGCAAGTTCCTCCATTCTTGCAGGGGTTACTGTCACATTCACTGATATTCCGTTCACAGTCAATGCCAGTGAAGCCCACTTTGCAGGAACATGTATAACTACCTTGGCCAGTGTTCATGCAAGTGGCTCCATTTTTGCAAGGTTTATGATGGGTGCAGTAGTTCAGATCTAAAAAGGCATAAAAGGGGACAAGAAGAAACAAACCTCCAGTCAATTAGATATTTACGTTTCAACAAATGACAGCACCAAAGATGAGGTACTATAAACAAGAAGACTTTGGACAAAACACCTTTAGCTTATTGTCAGTAGAAACACTAAAAATTGCATAGCTTCGGTTTAAGCATAAGGACCAGGATAAAGACCTGATTAGGGGACTACTCAGTATGCCTAAAGTAAAAAACTTGTGTATGGTTGTGTAAGGTCAGAGTTCTTTAAACTTCTCCACAGAGTGGTTCTCAGTTTTTGCAGGAATTAGCAAAGTTGTTGAAAACTTTTCTCTGTGTAATTAAGACATAGCATAGAGGCTGTACAACTGATGGCCCTCATGTTTGTCCTAGGTCCAGAGGACAACATATCAAAATTACAGGAAAAGAGATGGCCTTGGGTGTGCTTTAGAATTATCTCAGATAAATAGTTTATGAAAAATAAAGTTATCAGCCTTCAGGATCACCAAAACAACAAAGGAAGGATGGTATGCTGTTAATATCTACAATGCACTGTAGGGGTTAGTCAGCATTTCAGCTGCTAGTGCTATCAAAATACATCCCCCCTTACAAGGAACCAGCAGAAGTCCTTAGTGAACTGTTTGTGCACAGCTAATGGCTTTAGAGCCCACCATCAGAATGTCTAAGCCCTGAACTCTGAGATTCTGAACAAACCTGTAACTGTATTAGTGCACTAGGAGCCCACACTCACATTAGTACATGCCTAAATCTCATTATTGCTAATAGGTTTAACTAAGCATTTGTGTTTAGTAGAAGTCTGTTCAGCAGATATCTTATGAAAAAGCTCATGCAACTAGTGTACACATTGAGTATCAATAGCAGAGACTTCAGATTGGATGCTGCTAATCCATTCCACCAATGGTGATGCAAAGAAGGTGCTACCATTAGCAGAACAGATGTGGGCAACCCAACCTTTCATCTGACAAAGTATCTTCCAGATATTAACTTAGATCTGTGACTCTTTGACCCAAGAAACTAAATTAGCATCCTATATTGTCTTGTGTTTTATGTATTAAATTTCTACTTTAATGTCAATTGTTTAATTCCTTAAACAAAGGCTGAGGACATTTTAATTGAAGGATTACACTTAATCACACAAGCTGACAGGATAAATATAACTAACATAAGTAAACAGTCTATATATGTGGTTAATAAATAACTGCAGGCAGACAAAACCATTTTTTACTGCTTAATATAGACATATAATTCTTAACTAGGCTATGACAGTCTCCATTGGGAATTTTTTTTTTTGCTGTCATCAATGCTGGTTTATGGTGACCCTGCAGGGTTTTCAAGACAAGAAATGTTCAGAGGTGGTTTGCCATTGCCTGCCTCGTCATGACTTTGACATTCCTTGGAGATCTCCCATCCAAATACTAGCAAGGGTCAATCCTGCATAGCTTCTGAGATATGAGGAGTTCAGGCTAGCCTAAACTATCCAGGTCACCAATATGGATATCAAAACAATTTTTTTAAAACATATCTGTATGACTTTAGAGATTTATAGTTCTACGGCTGACTCCAGTTTAAATATTAAGTAACTTGCAAGGTCAAAAGTGTCCTTTCATTTATTTTAAACTCTTGTGTTTGTCACAAGGAAAACTTTTAGTCCTATCCTGAACTCCAAAGTGGTTAAAGATACTGACATGGTGGTATACATCCAAGTTACATCAGCATCCCAAAGGTATGCCAGAGTTCCACTGGTATAGATGTTATGCAAAACTGGGGTGTGATGTGGGCAAAGCAGGACTTAACTTTCTAAGCCCATCCTGCCACACCAACTGCACCATTGTCAGACATCCAGGTGGCCTTGGGAAGCAGGCCATGTTAGGTGGTGCTGATTGGCTGTGTCACGGCCTGACCGTCACGCTCACTGTGGTACTGGTGCCTGGGACTCTGGCATGGCCCCTGTCCTGTTCCCACAGCCACTTCTGGCCACTTCTATTGCACTGTAAGCCCACGGGATGCCAACTTGTGCCACCAGCAGAGCAACAGTACCACACAAGCAGCAGTGTGCCAACATCACCAGTGTCTGAGGATGGAGCTGTTCTTCATGGATAGAAATAAGAAAGGTATGACATTTATTTTTGATGGGAAATGTTCATAAAACTACCTGAATGAACTATCTTGATACATAGCTGACTGTATGGGCTCGTAGTATGGAACACGACAGGTCTGAGGGATGAATAAGTCAATCCAATTCAAAAAATATAGATATACAAATATTTTGTAAAGTTCCTTCATGCTTTCATCTAATGATTGTTAGTATGATTAAGGTAGGAGAAACTTTGAAATTTGATTCCAAAAGTAACAGTAATCCAGGAAAACCTGACAAACTTTGCAGGTCAGACTTTTTGACATTAGCAACATTAAGAACAGATATTTAAAAAGAGGGGGAAACTGAATTAATATTAATCCATTCTTGCCATAACAACATCAGCTAACCTTGGTCACAAAAAAGGCCTCCCCATCCTTCATCACATATGCACTCTCCTGGTTTCTTACAGGTCCCATGGCGGCAGCCTGCATGAGGAACACATTCATCACAATGACGACCTCGCCAACCACTGCGACAGCTGGAAAAAATTAATGGAAATCAAATGTTATAAGGCTTTGATGACAATGGGTGCAGGAGGGGACAGGGTACAATTTTACACACAAGGTGAGATATAGCATCTACTCACATGCACTCTCCTGGATTCCTGCAAAATCCACTTTTCTCTGTGCACCCAGCTAAACAGATAGCTGTGAAAAAATATATGCTCAGTTACAATTTAAAATTTAGATTTTTCAAAATACCTTGAATGTATTTTAAAATACTTATCACATTTGTATTATGCCTTTCCTACAACAATCCTGAGGTCCAACCCTGCCTCCACATTTTATTTTCAAAACAACTCTGTGAGGTATGTTAGACTGGGGAGGAGATAACTGACTCTGGGGGGTGTGTGTGGTTAAGGCCGGCCCTGGCTTGCTCATATAAATGCCAGTTTGTAACCTGGATATTTTGTGGCACCCCCCCCCCTTAAGTTCTATTCTAAAGATATTCATGTCATGCACATAATTATGCCAATCAATATAAAGTGTGCAAATATATCTGTTTCACATAAAGTTGCACAATCTAGATATATTGTTTTTAAAGGATATGGAGGAAGGAGGAAGGCCTCAGCACTGCCATTGTATGTAAATACAGATTTCCTTTAGGCCAGATTTGGATTTGTTTTCACAACAAATATAGGTTTGGTTCTCAAAGATGAAGGAGGTGAGGAGAGGAAAATATGTTTGCATTTTTAAATCTCCTACAGCTGCATTGCCTTCAGTTTTATTAGGTTTGGCGGTAACAGTGGTATATATGCACAAGTTTAGCAATGGTGTAAGCTCTAAACTTCACAGCGTGTATATACTAGGCTGGTTAAAATGTCCATGACAGGGATACAGTAGGGTTTTTCCCCTTCAGTATTTCTAAGAAGCTGTACTGGTGGCTGCAAGTGACTATGTAATAAAAAACAGGTGATGTGATGAGGGTGAAAGCCTGAAAATTATCTCTGCCTTTAAAGTAGAAGGAAGTAGTAAAGCAGAAGGAATAAGAAGAACCATCTGTAACAGGGCTACACCCCCCACACCTTCCCTACAAACCCTGTTATTCCTAGCGAACAAGGTGCAAACAAATGCGTCTTTCCATCCTGTGGTTTTCATGGCTATAGACCGTCCCCCCCCCTTAATTTAACAGAGTGGCATTTGCTTCAGTGATCTGGCTAGAGAAAGAGGAAGGAACTCTAGCCAGGAAACCTCCTGTAGCCAGTATGAAGGCATACCTGTAGCCACCATATGTATGGTCTGAAGCATCTCCTGTGGCTACAACTAAAAACTACTTTGAAAAGCACTTAGCAAGGATCCCAAAAATTGTTACTTTGCTGCATGGACATAGGAAATGGAGCCAAAACCTTCCAAATGACATTTTGAGAGCGAGCTGTGTAGTACTTAAAGGCACTTTACATAGTGCTTTTCCTGCTCTGAGTGCCATACTTCTGAGTACTTATACTAAAGAATAAGTACACTATAATACTGATAATTACTTTCTGAAACAAAAAAAATGCACATTCCCCATGAATAAGGGACACTTTCTGCAACATGTTTTTATGGGTATGTGCAAACCATTTTACCTGTACAGATAGACCTGCAAAGTGCACAGGGATCAAAAACATTTCTGACTGCATGTATCTTTGACAGATACATGTGTCCAGGACCTAGGATTGAAACCAGTTCCCTGCCACGTGTACAGGAGAGGTACATGCTTGCTGCTGTATAACAGTCCAAATGTAGGTTGCACAAGCAGTGTTTGCTGTGGTAAGGGTGTAACATGAATAATTTGTCTGCATGTCTGCAAAACAATCAGTGGACACATACAAGTGGAATGTCAGTAGCTTCTTACCCATGTCCACTGATTGTTTGGAGACATGCATTTCCCTTGACCCTCTGTCAGGGATCATTTCAATGTTTCAGGAACATTAAACCAGGGGGTCCAATTCTATGGGCCCCCAAACAGGTTGCCCCCATCCCCTCCATTGTTCTCTACGGTGGGGGAAAAAGTTACTTTTTCCGCAAACAATGACGGCAGCCATAACTTTTTAAAGAGCCCCTCCCGGAGAGCTGGGGGAGCCAGAATGACCTTTCGCGTGTGATATTCGAGTGGCAACGCCGCTCGGACATCACACGCGAGAGGTGGAATTTGCCCCTCAGAGTCCACCACCCCGGGGCTCAGGGAGGGAACATTTCGCTCCGCCCCTCCCCTGCATGCGCGGGCGTCACAGCTGCCTCCGCGAACAGTGACAGCGGGCATAACTTTTTAAAGAGCCCCTCCCGAGAGCTGGGGGAGCCAGAATGACCTCTCACACGCGAGAGGTAGAATTTGCCCCTACGAGTCCAAGGCCACCACTCCGGGGCTCAGGGAGGCAAGGGAACGTTTCGCCCCCCCTCCCCCCCGTGCAGGCGTCGCAGCTGCCGCCATAACTTTTTAAGGAGCCGGGAAGGAGAGCTGGGGGAGCCAGAATGACCTCTCGTGCGAGAGGTGGAATTTGCCCCTACAAGTCCAAGGCCACCACCCCGTGGCTCCGGGAGGTGAGGGAACGTCCCCCCCCTGTGTCCCAACTGATGGCTGGTGGGAGCAGGGGGAGGGGCTTATGTGCCCGCCCCCTGGGCTCCTGACTGGCGGAGTGGTGCTCCGGTGCGCTCCGGCAGAAACTGAGGCCTGCCTTCTGTATATTTAAATCATCAAAGGCTGGTGTAACCGGAAGTACAACAAACAACAGTCTGAGCCTGAAGCATGTGAAGCCTTATGGGGCAGTCTTTATGAGAGATATGGCTGGACCAGTGAGGTGCCTAGCATTCTCTTCCACTTTCCTTTTGTGGGATTTTTTGTTGAGTGTCTCTGTGTGGGGTCTAAGGGGCATTTTTGCTACTAACTCTTTTCAGAATGTTCTCAGCATGACACTCCAGGTTTGGATAAGCAAGACCATTCTCCCCTCAGCCACTTCCCTAGCAGGCATAAAGGTGCTGATGCCAAGGGAGGGGTGTGTGTCGCTTCTGGTTCTTAGCAAGCCAATGCAAGGGAAGAAAGCAAGGCTCTTGCCCAACAAATGAAACTCGGATGCAGAGAGCTGCTAGTGCCTGCCCTTATCAATCTCTTATTACTCGCCCTTACACGCTCCCTGCCTTATATCGTGAATAAAACTTCGTTGGTCTTAAAGGTTCCGCTGGACTCAGACTTGGTTCTGCTGCTTCAGACAAACAGGGCTCCCCACCTGAATCTACACACCGTTGCCAGCCCGCCGGCCCTTTAAATCTGTCACGGACCCACGCTTCGGACATGCGGGCTCCCTAACCTCCCCCCCCCCCCCCGCTTTGATTCTGGAAGCCTAAACCCTGAAAAGCTTGCTAGTCTCTAACTCAGTAAGGTGTTTCTGGACTGGAATCTAGCTCCTCTACACTTCAGACCGAGGCAGCAACCCACAGAAACCCCCCTCGGCTCCACTCTCCAGGGCTTGCCACTTCGATTCAAGCACCCGCCGATGCACCTTCGGCGCCCTTCCCTCGTTCTTCACCCACCCCCCCCCCCCCACCGCACGCGCCTAGGCGCCTCTAGCGACGTTATGAAGGTCCTGGAGCGGCAGGGGGAGCTGCCGCCTTCTGCTGCTCCGCGGTGCCGTTTCCCCCCACGAGGCGTTTCCCGCCTTCTGCTCCCTGGTTCGGCGGGTCTCGCGGCATAAGCACGCGCGCAACCTATCAACCCCGGCCGGGGACGACGGGGAAAAATCCCTCCCTCCGCTCCGTCGCTCACCTTCGGTGCAATAGTTCCCGGTCCAGCCTGTCATGCAGGCGACGCTGCCGTCAGATTCGCAGACGTAGTGGCCGAAGTGGTCGTCGCGACCCCTGCAGAGGCGGGAGCAGTTGTCTCCGTAGTAGTGTTCGTTGCACACCACGCGGTAGGAGTAGCTCAGCCTGGCCCCCTCGCTGCTCTGCTCGTCCTGGAACCAGTCCTCTCCCACCGCCAGCGACCGCTGGATCGCCATCTTGCTGATGAGCCACTTCTCAGCGGGCGGCTCGGAACCTGCGGCGGGGGAAGACACTCGGTTGGGGGTGGGGGTGGTGAGGGAGCCTCTCCTCCCCGCGCGCTGCTCGGAAGGGGAGCCATTCCCCCTCCCTCAGAAAGGGGAGAACTACTTCCCCAGCGCAGGCGGCCGCCTAACACACAGACCATCTTCCTTTCCCAGGAATTAGTTTCTGCCACAGAACCTGGTTCTACTAATGAGGTGGGAAATATGCAAAGCGATAACCAAGGCAAGTGCCCCTGAGTTTGTGCAGAGTGCTATTTACGACATCGTGAAAGGCAGACCATGAACACTTCCTGGCAGGCCAGACCCAGCAACTCTTTCTAGAAAGAAGCACTTGTGGTTTCCAGGCCACACCCTCTCTACACCATCACCCTGTCCAGGAGGTGCCACTTTTGCATATGCCATTCTAGCTCACACTGCTCCTAACTTTAACAGAGTGCCCATACTACCACTGCCCCCCAAACACCATCCTCCCCATGTGGTATGCTGTTTTTCATAGTGGCATCCACACACATTGATCGCCAGTTTTTTAAAAAAGTTGTAGGGTTTTTATGTCTTTAGAGGCCAAGTAACAAGCTACAACTCAACAGATTAACCTTTTCTTATCACTACATTCTCTGTGCAAACCCTTCACTTGTTGCATTTCTCTTTATGGGCATCCTGGCAGAAACAGAGCAGTAACTCTCAGTCACAGGGCACTCCTTGATGGTTACATTTGTACTTGTACTGCAGAACTATCTGTGCTTTCCATCAGTGCACCTTTGCTGTTCACAAGGCATTCAATCCCCACACAGTGTACCGTCTCATTTTACTGTGCCTAATGCCACTACACACTATACCCTTATTGAAATCATTCTCACATTACACTCCTGTGTGAGCAAACGCTCCCCAGTGATAACAAATAACAGTTACCAGTATTAAGGCTCGCGTGCATGCAAATCAAGAGTACCAGCTATCAGCAGAGCCTTCAGGGTTTTGGTTTTTTTTAAGTTTTGTTCCATTTGATTGGGGCGGGGCATTAACAAAGTTTGAAGACTTACAATAGTAACTAATGCAAATGACTTCCAAGTAAAGAAAATCAACCAGGCTGCCAAAGACAATTATGACAGAGTTTTGTTATTGTAGTTGAATTGTCATTAAATACTTTGTCATTGTAGCTGAATTGTGGAAGAATACAATAAAAACTTTAAACAGCTAAATAATATTGATTAAAATATCAGTCTGTAGTATTTGGAGGCTCTAGGTATGCGTTGGGCTGAGTCATTTGGAGAAAACTGGAAGAAATCATTGTACTACACAATCTCTTTTCTGTGGTCTTCAAAATCAATTATTGTTAACCATGGTCCTGAAACGTTTTGCAGGAATCTTTTCAAAGTTAAGAACTGTTGTGCTGTTGAAATATCCTTTTCCTCTGTGTCAGAAAAACATCCCAAAGCCATTATTCCTTTTCCAAAGGGCGGAATTTGAAAAAGGTGTAAAATACAGGAAAAGGCAGTCAGGATTTTTGGCAGCCTTGTAGTTTTCTCACCAAAGAGCTCCTTTCTTTCCCACGCCAAAAATAAACGGGAGGAAACGCAATTGTGTGGAGATTAAGTAGGGGACAAAAATCAAAGCAAAACTGATGTAGGGAATAGCTCTGGTTTGCGAACTAAAGCAAGCAGTGAAAAGATATTGTAAACAGCTGCATGATTGAAGGCACATTTATTTAGCTACTTTATAACGATTTTGACTGAATTAAATAATTCCTTGTAAAGATTAGTTTACACACAACTTTTGAAAGACCGTCGCCCCCTAGCGACTACGGAGTGAAACATTATTCACCTGCTGGAAGGTAACCTTCAGGAGCGTGCCAGGCTTCAATGATCAATGAGAAAGTTCCCTGTGAATGAAAAGAAGGAGTGAGAGGAAGTTACAGAATTTAAGACCAGGAGAAAGCTCTCGTGAAAAGTGATCGGAAAGGACACGGTCTGCTTTGGAGCTTAAAACAACCGGGTGAAACCAGGAAACCTCTGGCTGGTAGTGCTGGCAGGTCGTAGATATACATTTCAATTAATCTAATTGCAGATAGCGTTACTTTGTCTGAGTCAATGAAATGGAGCTTCCTCAGGACTGCTTTCATCTCCTGGAGGAACGTTTCTCTTGTTTTCCAGCATTGCGCAGAGGGGGCTCTCTCTCTCTCTCTCTGACTTCTCTTTCCACTTCGGGATGGATTTTGCCGAACGCAAAGCTCTCGGTTTTACACCCGTTTACATTTCGGTTCATCTTATGCAACTCTTACATTTCTAAATGGACATTTCGCAATGGACGCGTTCGACCGTAGCTGTTCCTATATTCAACGAAGGCTGTGCGTGTCCCGGCCGCAGAGAAGCCGAAGCGGCCGCCCTGGGCTCTCCCTTCCCTCCCCCTGACACCTCTGCTGCAGGCGAGCGCTCACCGGCCAGGTGAAGTTAAAAGGCAGCTGGATGGGGCTGCCGAACCCCTCCGTTCCTCGGACGGGGAAGGAGTCGATTCCCAGCACAGGGGTGACGATGCTGCCGAAGGTGCAGGAGCCCGGGGAGATGACGGTCTGGAAGTGCTTCAGGCAGACGCGAAAGAAGGTCCTGCAGCCGGCAGCGCAGGGCTCGCCGCTGGCCAGGGAGCGCTGGCGGTTCACAAACTCGCGCAGCTCCAGCTGGAAGACGCCCGAGCCGGACACCCTCTGCACAAAGGGGAGACATACACAAAAGAGCCAGATCAGACCTTACCCACGCGCGGCCCCGCGACGGCTGGCTGGCGGGCGGGCGGGCTGGTGCCGCCCAGTTGCCTCCGGGAGCAAAAGCCCTCGCTCGGCCATTACCTGCGGGATCAGCGTGACGGCCAGCGTCAGGCCAAAGAGGCGCCAGGCGGCCATCCTCCTGCTCTGCTTGCTTCGGACCCTCCCTGGGACGCAAGTTTAACTCGCCCTTGTATTCCTCAGGTTGTCCACGGGTGAGCTTCTGGCGGGAGCCGGCGTCTGCAGGGACTCAGAGGAGCCGATTCCCAATCTCCCCCAGCCCGAACAGGGAAAGTAAAATCCAGGTGGCTGAAACCATCCACTTGAGGGGATTAATCCTGGCCTCGACAAGAACACTTTGGCTGCGGTCGCCCCGATAAACTCCCAAGCCGAGTGGAGAGACGCTCAAGGGTGTGTGTGTGTGTGTTCCGTGCTGGACGGCTCCTCCTCCTCCTCCTCGTCCAGGGCCCGCAGCACTCGCTCGGTCAATGGAAAACTTGCTTCCCTTCGAGCTGTTTATATAGTTGCCTCTTGTCCTCGCGAGCTCATTATGTAAACTGTCAGTCAGACTCAGGCGGCCCCTCCCCTTTGCATCATTCTGGAAAAGGAACCAAATGTTGCAGAGCGCCTCAGATCCAGAATTAATACCCGGCGGCGGCGACTACTCCTGCACTGACCACCAAGGAGCCGAGCTGATTATTAACAAGCCCAGCATCTGTTGAGATATTTACAGCACTCGCGGTCCAGGCGGTTCCCTTGAAAACCAGGCGCTTTGGAGAAGAGGGGAAGATGGTTTTACAACTGACCGGACAATAGAGGCCCCAGCACGGGGGAAAAAGTGTTCCTTTTACAATCACGGTTATTCCACACTCCTCCCATCTTTACCAAGACGATGCACTTTTGTGCTTTCTAAAGACTAACTGCCCAGAGTACAAATTTAGAGTCCAATGGCACTAAATTTGTTCTACTGCTTCAGACCAACACGGCCGAACCCCGGATCTATGCTCAGAGTACTTTAGCCCTCTCTGAGTAACAGGTGTTACCTACCTAGCTGATAAGCGGGTAGAAAGGAGAAACGAATCTGCCTTTGGGAAACAGAAAGACCCCGTTGCTTTCGTGTTATCTTAGTTCTTGTAAACATCTGCAGCCTGATTGTTTGGCAATGGCGGGTCACCCTGATTAACACGCTTCAAGTAGGAGACAAGAGTGCGGAAACAGTCTTAACATCCCTCTTTTAACAACTCCAGTGGGTACAGCTCAGCCTTTAAGAGTGCGGGCAAAAGGGTGGGAGGACATAATGTATTCACGTTTGTGCTGTCACCAGATGGAGTTTGGTGAATTAAACCAATCCTGGCTAAAGTTGGGAAACACTGGTTGTAAATAAAGCGCAGGCTTTTGCCTGTAACCCTGTTCAACCGCAAAATCCCAACTCGATTTGATGGAGCGGGGCTGCATCCATCATCACTCCCCCTCGGTTTTGCAGAGCAGACCTCAGCGGCTGTTCCCGAGCTCATATTGTATCCTGGCCATAGGCTGGTGTGTGCCAGTAAACCCCTTGGCCTGATTGCAATGTGTGCTCATTGTTGGGTCGCGTGTCCCTCATTAAAGCCAAGTACAGAGAAGGCCTTTCATGTGGCTTTTATTTCAGCTTGGTAAGGGGGGGGGGGAAGAGAAGCTGGGAGAAGATAAACCTTCAGCTGTATGATAATGAGATCTTGCCACCTTTATGCCAGCCCTTGTCCAGAAGGTTTATACTGCCCTTCACCTGGAAAAAGAACTTAAATAACCAGCTGACGCGTTATTTTGGAAAACACTCGCCTTGAGAGGTGACTTTTCTTTAATGTATGTAACTAATTCTCGGGTAGTCTTTAGGAAACAGCAAATTTTGATGTGACTGAGAAAACAAGATTTGTGGATTTCTTCCAAGTTCCAAAAGCGAAGTTTAGGGGTCTTACTGTGTGAGCGCCATAGAAAGAAGCAATGTTTATGTGGAAGCCCCCCCCCCCCCGCAAATCTTAGGAGAACGAAAATTATAAGGTGCGGACAGTGGATGAGCAGAATTTGTGCCTGCCAGATATCTAATGGGTGGCGCGGGGGGTGGGTGGGGACTCCCAAGCTCTGGAATGGATGGAAACTTCTGCTGACCTCATTTGGCTCTAGAAAGCTTGGGAAAGGGGGCTAGTGAGTTTGCGCGTTTGTGAATTGCTGGGCTTCCATTGGTTTTAACGTTTTAAAAGACACACAGGTACTTCAAGCATCCTGTTTCTTCTTCGAAATATCCGCAGTATGAAAGCGAAGGTATACTCCAGGAGGGTGGAAACATCCACTTGAAACAGTAACGCGCACCGCGGTAACACCACCACTGGTCACCTTGGAAGGACGGGTCCCCTCTTGCACTATCCGGACCTGTATCGGTTCAGTATTCCAGCGACCTCTGGCACGGATCTCTCTCTCTCTCCCCCCCCCCCTCCATTTCTCTTTCTATCCGCAGTCGATAGTTACTAGAAAGTATTTTCATTCACTTTTGCACTGTCCTTGAGTCACCTCTTTATTGCAAGGGTGTACTCGGTTCTTCCATCCTTCAGTTTATCTTCACAACAGCCCTGCGAGGTTGTTCTAAGGTAGGCTAGGCTAAGCGTGACAGGCCCAGGGGTCGGGTCTGTGGGGAGGTTCTGGCCCATCCCCACGACAAGCACCTCGGCTCTCTGCCCTTGTCCCCAAAGCCCGCTGCCAGACACATTTCCTCCTCGGGAGTAAGAGGGCTCTGGTTGAAAGTTACTTCCCAGTGAGCCGCGCAGGGCGGCAGCTTGCCTTGGGTGACGTTTCCGAGTGGGCAAACCGGAAGGGAGGGAGGAATGTCCCGGGGGGGGCAAAGAAGGGGGCGATGCTGCCGGGGATTTTGTTCCTCCTGCCGGCCCAGCCGGGGTTCCCCGCTTCACCCGCGACGGCGTCAACGGTCAAACCCAGCCCTGATGCTCCTGGCTTCTGCACGAACTCAAGTGGGAGGCCAGATAACATCAGTGCTGGAGGGATGGTAATGAGTGCCTCACCCCAGGGGAACAGAAGGGCGGCGGAGGGGCTCTCCCATTCACTCCTGAAAGGCTCACTGGGCTCGGCAGGCGCGAGCAGATGTTCGTATGTGTGTGTTTTGATTTTTGACTTGTCTTGGAGGTTTATGAGGCTCAGCAGAGCCACCCCACGCATGGCCACTTGGCCCAGGCACCATCTGGCACAAGCCGGGCGGCGCGCAGGAGCAGGGCATCGCATTGGTGCCGGAGCATTGGTGGCGGCATCTACCATATGGACCCGCTCTATTCTTCTGCGCTAATGTAGGTTAAAGCAAGACAAGCGGAGCTCTGCTGCTGCTTCTTTTTACAACTCTGCTAAACCTCACCGCAATCCTCCCAACCTGCGCCCTCGCGGATAGAATTTCACCTTTAATCTACACGCGTCGTCCGGCATCAACTTCCCTTCCCTCGGTCAAAACATTATGATGTGGGCGGTGAAGGTTGCAGCCCCCTTAAAAGTAGCCTTAAGCTCGCGTTGGTTTTAATTCAGACCTTTCGGGTGCCCCCCCCCCCGTCAGAGAATGACTACTCTAATGGCACACATCGCCCCATAGCATCCCTCTTCCTGGAGGATCAGAACAGATGTGAAATCTTCTTGGAAGTCTGGGGGTATTATATTGTTGTGATTGTAGCTTTTAGAGAGGCTGTAGTAAAATAATAAACATGGACTGTAAGAGACCATCTGCTTTGTGTTGACCAAGCAAGAAGCACAGATAAAAAGTTGCAGCAGGTAACATCAGGCAAGTGGACCAGAAAGTTTGCAGAGGGCAAGCGACGTCATTCTTGGTCCTTTGCCTTTGGGAGCACTGCTGAGGGTGTGCTCTCTCTCACTTAGGTAGGGCATGAAGGTGAGTTAACTATATATCTATGAGCCTGAAAAATAACCTGGAACATAGTAACAGAGACAAAACTGGGTCATCCCATTAAAGCATCCACCATGATATATTTTAGTTACCCAATCGAGCAATTAATCAATTAAATCTGCATGACATTGCATACAAATACAACAATAGTTCTGAAATAAAAATAAAAATGTGTAGGCTAGGTCCCCATGATGCATGCATGGGGTCCCAACAAGAAGTCTCTTGAAAGAGGCATTGCTCCCTGTCTGACAGAGAACAGAGAATGGCTCTTACAATATGATGGCTGACACCTGAGAAGCCTGGCCCCACTGGTGGACCTCCTGATGGCACTGGTATTTCTGGCCACTGTGTGATACAGAGTGTTGGACTGGATGGGCCTTTGGCCTGATCCAACATTGGCATCTCTTATGTTCTATGTTCTTGTATAGCAACAACCACCATGAATTGTTTCTTTTAAAAATCTGCTGCCTTGGTTGGGGCATCTTTTTTTTTTTTATTATTTAAATTTTTATAGTTGGGGCATCTTTTAATAACCAAAAAGATTTTAATGTTGATTAACTGGCTAAACATTACAGCCCTAATTAGAGCTTTCCTAAACAGCTAATGAAAGAATAATTATACTACCATTAAACTACCTCAATTTTTAGCTTTTAGGTTAAAGAGGGCTTCTTGTTCCTGTGATATTTACAATGATTCTGTAAAAACCCATTCTAAACAGAGTTCCTGCCTTCTCAGGCCATTGATGTTGGTTGAAGCCTGTAACTTTAATACTTTAGAAAAAGGTATTGATCTGGGCTAGGTTTTTCAGATTTTTAAAAATCTTGTAAATGCATACTTGTATTCTAATGGCTTACATTTCTCACAAAATAGGGACTAAAAAACTGACAAGGATTTTCAATTTTATCATCTTTGTCAGAATCTGATTTAACACATTTACACTTTGGAATCATGTGTAATAATAGGAAATAACAGTTTCCATTAACATAATACTTTAACTTTCAAATAACAGTTACAATGTACATAATTTGGGCTTTGGGTTTTTTTGTTTTGTTTGCAAATGTTAAAAATGTAAAATGGCTTGGTTTTTAATATCTTGTGTGAAGTTTCTGCAATCCAAAGACAGGTGTTCATTATTAAACCTGGCAGCTAGGGAGGGGAAGCAGATTCTAGTTGCATGAGGTCCCCCCCCCATTATTTCTTTGCAATTTCATACCTTAAATACTTTTCACATTTAGATTTAAAGGAATGGCTTGCAGTTTTCAGAAAGGCTGGCTTCAATGAATTTGCCATGTGAATTTCTGGTGTTTCTCAAGCTAAACCAGGGAAGTTACCAATGAGTTGCTGATTATCTAATCCTTAACATATTCATGGTAGGCAA